AATATTACTTACTTAAATATTCACTTACTTAAAGGCTGAAATGTACATCGATTGAATGCAAAACAGGCTGCTGTGGTACTTATTTATACAATTATATAAAAAAATGAATGCTAAAATAATACTAATTTTTATATGGTTTTAGCTTGAACATAATTTTGCATGATTTTAATTGCCACTATGAGAAGAATGAAGAATTCATTACTTAGTGTTTGTGTGGCTGCAAATTGCTCCCTTATTCAATAGTAGTTTAACAAACATAACTACTTTGATGTTCTACACTTTGTAATACCTAGTATTTAAACTGGTTACTTTGAAGCCTAAGCTCTTTTATATTTTTTAATTTATACTATACTGGCACGTTAGCCTTGAGGTCTGGCGACTGTCAGATGATGATTGTGAAATACAATGGAGCTGAAATGGCCTAACCATAATGTCTGTCAAAAAAGATAAGAGTTGAGCATAAAAAATAAGAGCTGCGTCCCAAATGGCACACTATACACTTATGCACTATGTACTTATGCACTTACACAATCAACAGCATAGTATATGTTTGTAGTGTCAACCCAAATGCACTGTTTTTTTTTACTAAACATAAACTCAAATAATTTCCCTGATGACGTATGCCAAATTAGTGAAATGAATAACCAAAATAGCTGCCATGAGTATAAGCGCATTCACCATCTAGAGACGGTATATTCACTCTCTAAGGAGAATTTTGCTTCTACAATACAAAATAAGTAATTCAACAACAGTGCTTGATAGCTCCGCCCCTTCCGCTACATGAGCAAAGCTGCGGCTGTTGAGTGTGAAGTCTCCAACATTCCAAATTTAATTTAAAGGTTGAATAAGTGCATCATCCAGGTATTTAAAAGTACAATTTTTAGAGTTTTCAGTGTAAACACAATACTTACACTACTAGTGCATAAGTATGCAATTCAGAACGCACCTAGAGTATAAGAAAAATTACATTTTGATAATTGTAAACTACAATTAAAAGTGACAAACAAAACCCCCTGATATTCAGTGACTAGGCAAAATATCCTTGACTTTTAATTTCTGAAATAGAACTTTTAAAAATGTCATGATATTTCAGAAATTCCATGACCAGTGGGAAGCCTGTATAATATTTAACCAGGTTATAAGATGGTTTTGGATGGTTTTATAGAGTTAATTTTAAAACTGTGAAAAAACAACATGTTAAAATGGTAAGTAAATGTTTTGAGTTTATTAGCAACATTTTAATTACACAAAATAACTAAATACAACTTCCTGCCAATTAATTATAATTCATTTTACACTCTGAATTTTCTCTAAATAGAAGACTTCTTATCCACATTTTGCTTCTCAAATACATGAATCTGGATTTAAAAACTTACACTACTTATTTGTACTTTAAGCCAAGACAAAAACAATTAAGGAAGGAAATATCTTTTGCAACAGATAATGCCACAAGTTTCTGAATTTAGGATTTTGTGCTCTAATTTAAGACTTTATGGCATTTATTTGTAGGGGGTTAATTTAGACTTATAAGAGCCGCAGAATCCCTGCATAAATTCAGGCACTGACCTGCAGAGTGGACCTCAGAAGAGCCCTCTGGGTCCATGGCGAGATTCCCCAGAGCTCGTGCTGCTCGATTCTGTACAGTCTCCACAGAGACATTTCTTTTGAGGACATCCACTACAAAGACAAGATCACAGCATGAGCAGGCTACAAACAATAAAAAGCCATTTTGGATAGAATTAGCTATATCTAATGTTAACAATGACAGTGATGTGCAGAAATAAAGTAACTTCAAGTTGCACAACATGTGAGAGGCAGTGAACACTGGCAACACAGTGGTAATGAGTCCAGAAAAATTATTATAAAGAGAAAAGCTTAAGTTCTAGTGCAATTTATAAACTCTCTTAGAGCTAAGTATTCAAAATAGTGCAGTGACATAGACGACAAAGAATAACCCGTATTATATTATATTCCCCTATGAATGTTTTAGTGAACATGTCTTAAAATAATACTTCATTATTCGTGTGACAACCATGTTTAATGACTTTGACCCTTACCCTGGTGAACCTTTTGTGCAAAGTACAAGATCCACAGATTTTAAATATTAACCACAGATTTTAATCAATTTATTGATCAGGAAACCTTAATTTTAAGTTGGCCAGAAACAAAACATACAATCCCCCTTTCTTCCCCATTGACATGTATATCCAAATGACCATTTGAACAAAAAACTTAACTGAAGAAAACTACATTTTTAAGGGATAGTTCACCCATACATTTAAATGACTTCACTATTTACTTTGTGGTTAAAATCTTGAGTTTCTTAAATATGTTCAATTCAATTTATCTTTATTTCTATAGCACTTTTACTATGTAGATTGTGTCAAAGCAGCTTTACAGAGAAGTTCTAGTAAATTGAAACTGTGTCAGTCCAGTTTTCAGAGTTGAAATAAATAAATAAATAAATAAATAAATAAATAAATAAATAAACATGTGCTTCTTACTTCTGTTGAACACAAAAAAGAAGAGACTTTGAAGAATGCATGGACTTCCATAGCAATTTCTCTTACCATGAAAACAATCCAGAATTTTTGTAGGTTTCATCAAGTCAAATTTAAGACTTTTTTAAAAACCCTTTTAAGAATATTATGAATGAAATTTTAGACTTATACAGGGCTAAACACTAATGATTATTTCTAATGGCTGAGTTGGGCCATGGATTTTTTTTCTTGCTAGTTGTTACAAAAAACAAAAAAAAAAATGTAAAAAAATTTAAAATAAATAAATAAATAAATAATAATAATTATATATATATATATATATATATATATATATATATATATATATATATGTTTAATTATAACTTATCGACATACTTTAAGGTGCCAAAACAAGAGAACTCTAGTTGTATACACAATTTTCAACATAATATTTATTTTTTATGACACATTTAACATTGCTAAGAGTATATTTATTGTGGAGGCAATTATATAAATAATCTCTCTCTCTCTCTCTCTCTCTCTCTCTCTCTCTCTCTCTCTCTCTCTCTCTCTCTCTCTCTCTCTCTCTCTCTCTATATATATATATATATATATATATATATATATATATATTGTTGGCTTTTAGTCCAAATTGATCGAGTATAACGTCTACTCAACCTAATGCATTTCTGTTATAAAACCTTAAGTTTCATGCCCATTTATGTGCATTGTGTCTACTAACCTTTTACTTCTGTAAATAGTTTTTGTATGAATGGAAGATAACATAAAGGAATATTTTGCTCGGTTATCATCACAACGAAAAGTGCAATTGTTTTTAGTTTCTTTCCCTGTTTTTATCAAGATAGATTGTTGGTGATTGGGTGGATGTGGGCCTGAATGGGTAGCTTTAATTGGACAAAAGAAAATTAAGATCCGTTTAAAATTATTTAAGACCTACAACACAATATTTCTGTAAATTTGAGACTTTTTAAAGCCTAAAACATTTGTTTTTGAAAATTAGGACATTTTAAAACTTTCTAAGACCCCGCAGATACCCTGTACTGAGTACCATCAACCAGCATTTCTGAAAATAGCTTTTGTTCATAAAAGAAAGAATAAGTTTTTAAAAAGTGAAGTGTGAGTAAATGATGACAGATAACTCATTTTTGTGTAAACTATCCCTTTCAGAAGCCTTTGCATGACTTACCAACAACAGATACGCCATCCAGCTTTCTTACCTATGTAGGAAAAGAATAATAAAAACACTATATCAGTTACAAAACATTACACAAACTGCATAATAAATATTACTATAATGAATATTTCCTCACTTGTAGTCTGGTCCCCTTTTCAGTGCAGCAGTTGGCCAAGATGCTCAGTGCCAGGTCCACAAACTTCCTGGAGCTTTCTGGTCGCCTGAGGAGATCGAGCAAAGGAGGGATTCCTCCCCGTGACTGGTAGCGTGCGATCCTGCTGCCTCCTCCCTTGATGTGCTGTGTCCGAATGGCCACCAGTGCCCTCCACTGACCAGCTTTGAGTCTCTTGTCTGCATCCCTGGCTTTATCTCCTCCTGCGGCACCCTTGTTGTCAGCTCCTGTCAGTCCACTGTCTGCTAATAGACTTGATTTGGAAAGCTGAGCCAAACACCAGGTCAGAGAGGATTCTGGGAGAGTGGTGGACGCCTCTGAGGCGCAGTGTGAACTTTTTAAATTTAGTTTAAGTCCTTGTTCTAAAGACATGATGACACAGAAGCACCTCCCCCACCACCTCCTCTGTTCTTATAAGTCAAGTTAATTTGTTTATTTTCACAATTTTTCACAATAAGTATAACAATATCCCAGTGGCTTTAAGTTAAGTGCTATACCATTTAGCATATCAAGAATTAAAAAAAGCAAAAATAAATAAATAAAACAACACAAGAACTAACATAAAACACTCCTATGACTGACACATCAACAGAAAAACAAGCAATTGAAAAACTGCAACTACCATGTTCACCGATTCAACGCAAGCTCAGAGCAGTGGCTTCTGGGAAATGAAGTCTTTCAGCGGTGCGATCAATTTTCATTACGGCCTACAGCGCCAGGTAGGCCACGACAAATTAAAACATTGACAATTCTGCCTGAGAGTACGCTATTTGGGTGTATTTGGATGTTTCGACGAAGAGTGAGAAGGCTTCGTTAACTTTTCATCTTACTCACGTCCAATTTCCTACGCGCTTCTAAGCGCAATCGCCTCAGATTTGCACTGGCGCCATCTTTACTAGAGCGACAAACAGGAGGGTTTTCAGAAAGGGAGGGGCTTGAGCTGAATCGGCCTCTTTAAAGCATATGGTACATGTAGTTTTACGACAGCTCAAATGATGTCGTTATATAATATTTGACATAGTGGAAGAATAAAACTTTATATATTCATGAAGGAAGGCTTTTAGTTTATGATAAAGAAGAAATTCGCCCATCGTTTTGTCTTTCTGCCTTGCGCGTGAAACGCTTGTAAAAATGATGACCTACATTTCCCACAATCCTCCCTCACACGCCATGTTAATTTCCGGAACACACACAACAACCCAACACCCTGCACAGCGCTGCCTGGTGCAGACGAGGTCGTTGTTATTATCATCGCTGTCGTCGACGCTCGAAAAGAACTCATCGCTGGTGTTGTTAAAATCCACGATTAGTCGCAATAAGACTTGGCCAGATACATAGAAAATAAAAGTAACATGGAGGTCATTGAGTCAATTGTTACAGAAGCCATTGAGGTGGAGGACTCAACTACTACGGTTACGACTTTGGAGACGGAAAAGTCAAAAGCAGGTGAGATGTGCAGCTGCAGCTCGTGAACTGGCCATCTCCAGCGAGGAGGACACGATGAGCCCTATGATGATGATGATGATGATGGATGAGATTGGCCTTCCCACCAGTTTACTCAAGTTACTTAAGGCAGCTGCTGGACCTCCAAAACAATAAATTTATTTTGATAAATATATAACTTATTATAAAATTCTATCATCAGTATTTCAAATGTGTAAAATAAAATAAATGCGTTTACAATTTTGCATGTTTATCTAATTGTTTTTAATTGATCATTTTGATGAATTTGAATAACTTAAAAAGTTAACTTTAAATAATTACAGTGCAAATATGATAGATGTTTTTAAAAACTAGATTCTAAACCAATGTAAAACTAAGCCAAAATTATCTGCAAGGAGACCTAAAAAATATGTCTGCAAAAACGAGTACATCCTTTTGAAAAATCTACATTTTTATACATTGTCAGTGAATAAAGGCAATAATTTCTGGTGCATTTAAACATAACGTAAGGAATTGAAAGATAATACAATTATAATAAAAATGTTTTTGCACAAAAACAATTACAAACTACAAATTTTCAACTAAATTTTATTTTTGTTTATATTTTTCAGTTTTTTTTCCTGATAAGTAATATTATTTACATTTTTAATATTAACAATTTTACATTTTCCTCCAACATATTGATTTGTGCGTAAAAATTTTTGGACTGTTATCTTGAGTTTTTCCTTACTAGATTAGTTCCAGTATGGGCTTTGTTACGGCCTAACCGAATGCTTAGGCACATTTGGTAATTAATCAGTTCATTATAAAAATCAATTCTACTAAAGAATTAAACTTCTTGCTTATTGGGTTATTACAGTTAAAAGCAATTTAAAACAATTTTTATAAAAGACAATTACCAAAACGTTAACATTAAAATGATATAAAATGATGACTTAAAAATACACTACATAACATAAAGTAGGGCTGTACAACATTCAATGTGCCATCATGGCCTCACTTGAAAATGGTTCAGTCTTTGATCACAGTTATTTTCTCTCAGACCTTTTTTTCTCTCTCAGACCTAAATATTTGATTTTCTTCTTCTCTTTATTAATAATTTATTTAGAGTTTGTCTGGACTCTCCAAGCCACATGGCACCTCGTCCACGTTCGTTTGGATATGGACACTGAGTTTGACCAGCCCGTGTGCAAAAAGAAGAAGCTGTGGGAGACTGTGGCGGAGAGGGTGACGGCCAAACTAAGAGCCGACGAAGGCACTGATGTTTCAGTCAAAGCCTTTGAATGCGACCTGAAGTGGAGAAACATGCTAGCGACGTACCGCAAGAATGCAGAGCGAGCCAAAAGACTGGGAACCAACAGCGTTCACTGGGAGTTCTTCAAGGAGATGCATGAAGTTCTGGGAAGGAGCTACGAGGAGGTTGAGGCTCAGCGCAAAGCAAAAATCAGTGCCTCCAAACTGGGAAAAGCAATAGCCAGTAAACGATTTACCCCAATACTGCCCACACCTACAACCTCAGCTCCACAGTTGCCCAACGCCAGGCCTCCTCAGGATCTGCTTCAGCTTTACCTGGAGCTGCAAGAGCGCAAACTGAACATGTGGGCACAGCAGAAAGCTCTGGAAGAGAGGAAGATCGAAGCCATTAATAATCTGGCGCGCGCCATTACTTGCCTTTCCCAGAACAATACCTTGCAAAAGTTTGAGTCGGAAGCTTCCCAATAATAATACCTGCCACCATCTCTTCACATTAGAAAAATGAAACGGATCTTTATATTTAGAGAACTGAATAAATTGTTTCCTTTATTATTCGCTTGCAAAAATTGCTGTGTAGTTTAAACTGTTGCATTTATGTAAAGTGCGTAAAGGACAAGTCGAATCCCGTATTTTTGTTTTTTAATAAAATTAAAAACTATACAAAGTGTCTCTGTCAATGTTTCAATGTTATCAAAAATCACAAAATTACACAGAATTTCTACAATTTTACCACATAATACTACTTCTGTTAAGAACTCACAGTGCAAGACTTTAAAGGAAACACTCCACTTTTTCTTTGGAAAAAGATTTGATTTGGCGGCTCCTGGATCTGTTAATCTTGATAACTGATCTCTGGCTAATTTGGTTCTTTAAACAAGTTTGTGATTCAGATTAAAATGTCTGGATGAACTGATTTGAGATCGCTGTCTGTGTTGTGAAGGACAGATCTATCAATCCTCAAAATCATGATCAGCAATGCAACGATTCGCTGACGACACAGCAGCACAATTACATCATCCGATTAATATTCAATTATCCATGTGAGCAAAATTATAGTAAATAAATTACATTTGTAGTAAACGGTTTGTTAAATATGATACGCAATAACTTTCCACCTTTGTTGTGGGTTGAAGGCTTAACACTCTCCTGTGTCAAGAGTATTTAGCAATTTATTTAGTTTTACATTAAGATTGGACTTTATTTATTATAGTAGCCTGGGCCTACAAGTTTCTTGATCAGCGTAAGGAATAACTGGCTGTTTAAATTCATTTTGATAATCATTTTTAAAAAAGTGCAACTTTTGCAAAGCATCAAGTCACTGTCATAATTGCTGTCAAAACATGTGCATGACTGCATTATTTATTATTCCTTAAACAAAACAGTCCAATATTGTGCACGTCTATTATCAGATAGAGTAAAGCTGGAACCTTAAAATAGTAGTCTATGTGTTTGTGTCTAAAAAGTCCATATTAATAAATGTTCTCTTTGAACCCCTTAAGAAGAACCGCCCTGTGACAGTCTTTAAATTGTTATTGTGCAGATTTCACAAGTTTATGTGTTTTTAAACTTTGGTCATGAAAATTAAAATGATTAAAATACATCAAGTGACAATTTCTGAGCATTTGTGCAATTTAGGATTCGAACTCAAGATATTTGCAGCACACTTATTTTATGCAAACGCACGGTCCACTAGGTTACATGAAATAGAGTTTTCCCTACCCTGTCAATCAAACGCAGATTTGCCAGGTCTCGAAATGCTACTTAAATGTCTGATGCTTTGAAACGCTTTTGTCACGTGACCTGGGTGCTTTGAATCATTTTAGTCATGTGACCTGGGTGTTTCAAATTACTTTAGTCACATGACCTGGGGCCTCATGTATCAACACTGCGTACGCACAAAAACTTTGCGTACGCCAGGTTTCACGCTCAGAATCGCTCACGTTTGGATTTACTAACAATGAACTGAACGTGGGAATGTGCGCAGCTTCACGGCAGCTTTCTGGCAGGCGTACGCACATTTTTTGTGCGTGTCTGTTTTATTTCCATTGGCAACTCCTAGAGGCAGTTGTGTTAAATTCCTCTCTACAAAGTGTCTGAGCCTTGCAATGGCAGCTGTATGAGACGGGTTCAGCAGGTATATAAGGTTTCCATACCATACATTTGACCAGCCAAACATTAAAGCACAATTTGCAGCAGTCGCCTGTTTTCCCAATGTAATCTGAGCGATCTACTGCACGCACATTGCTATAAAGACACTATCTGAAGATGAATTTGCATGCGTGAATCAGAAACATTTCCATTCAATAAATGTGCAAATAAAATATGATGCACAAACTTATTAATGGTTCCTACTTGTCTTTCTCGTGATAAATAGTTGGCAAAATCTGATATGTAGCAGGGGAAAAAAGAAGAAAGAGTTCATCAGACGCTGGATTCGAACCGAGTTCATGCTGGAACGTGTCAAAACATGTTGACATGCGTTTTACGAGCAACGCCACTGAGACTGTTAAGGGTAATGCAACATTTTACACCTATAAATCACACTATTTCTCTTTTAACTCCACAGTGCGATGTTCAGACCCAACTATGTTAACCGCATCAGCTAAACTCTCCCACTCTATTTTTTTCTTTTGTTGTTAATTCCGGAGGACAAACTTGCAAATAACACCGCTTTTCTCCGGTCTACCTCCGAAAGCAGCACCTCCAATTCACATTCTGTTGAAAGTTTCTCTTCTTGCTTGCTTTTGCCTTTGCTTTTTCGTTGGGTTTTGCCATTAGCATAGTCATTAGCATATTCATACGGGGGAGGAGGCAGGGAGGGGTTTTGTGCTCGTGCATGTTGCGCTCAGTTTCACGTTCATTCAGATGTACAAAAGAATATGCGTGAGATTCGGCGTACGCAGTGTTTCATACATCTGAATTTTTTTCTGCGTACGCACATTTACAGCTTGTGTGCAATGTTTTAGTATGATTTCCACGCAAGTCTTAGTACATGAGGCCCCTGGTCTTTCGGATCATGCTTCGGTGCAGTGTTTCCAAACATTAGCAATTCCTGATCTCGACACTGACAGTGTCAGATCCACGTCAGCCATCCCTCCTTTTTAGGAAACATGCATTAAACACTTCAATTCATATTTATAACGTTTGCAGTGACTTTTTTTTTTGTTTGTTTCTTAAATTTGTGAAGGTTTTGGTTGCAAGAACTTTTAATGAATGAACAAAATAAAAATAGTTTAAGAAGATGAAAGTCAGAAAGTGATCAAATGACAACAAATTTAATTTGGGTCAATTATTCCTTTAAATATGCAAATTAGTGTCAAAATCTTATAGTGTCCCTTCTTCTAGTGAGCTATAAAGAAGATTGGCCACAGTCTCCCTCATTTTCACCCCAGCAGCATCTTGGTTGAGCTCCTCCACATCTTTCACTGCGCTTTTCTCTATCAGTCCCTTCGTCACGTCCCCCATGTCCAGGAAAACATTGTGCAAAACACAAGCTGTCAGAACCACAGTCTTTGCCCTCTCAAAGTTCCCCATATCCAAATACCTCAGCTTCTGGAATCGCTCTTTCAGGTCTGCCACTGCCTGGTTGAATCGGCCCAAATGGTTCCCCAGCGCTCTGTTGTAGAGGTTTTCCTGTGGACTTCGGCCAGTTGAAAATGGAGTAAGTATTTGTTCAGTAAGTGGATGTCCAACTCCGGCTATCAGACAGGCTCCTGGAGGAAGCATCTCAGGGTGTTTCTGAAGCCTTTCAGTCAATGCTTTTCCTCTGTCACTTTCTGAGCCTTTGCTGATATGGCAGTAAATGAACCGTCCGTCACCGTTGCACACCAGCTCCAAGTTCAGCCATGAATCAGGATGCACTTCACTCTTGAGTTTTTTGGCATCCGGAGCGTCCGTTTCACTGTCTGGTTTTCCCGAGGGAAGGCGTATAGGAATGCGTGTGTCGCCCAGCACCCCGAGTACTCTAGGAAGACCTCTTTCTTCCAGACCCTCACTGCGACTGTGCCAGCTGGAGAAAGGGAGCAGATTTTGTATTGCCTCCTGTCCTGCATCGGGAAAGGAGGATGGCAAAGTTAAATGATTAAAGTCAGCATGAACCGGAAGCTACGACCATCTTTTTTCGAATTAAGACACAGTTCCTAGAGAAATTGAACATTAAATGAGACAAAAAGGGGGCGTTATTTGTTTTTCAACTGTTAGCTGATTGGATGTAGTAAATTGGGCTATCATTTCAGAGAGATTGGGAAAAAGGTTTGGGGAGAGGTATTACAACAGACTCCTCCTGCTCGCCATTTCTGTTTGTTGTCAAAACTGACAGTTGGAGGGGTGTGGTTAAGTATGTTAGCCCCACCCAATACCTCAGATAATCTGACAATCTAACTGAAAACAAACAGGAAGTGCATTTTCAGATTTCAATTAAAGATCAGAATGGCAGTCAATTTGTGGTTTCTTAATGACATTCACAGATAAATTGTCCACTACAAACCAAACAATGTGAGCTAACGAAACAAATATAGTTAGTTTTGGTTTCATGTGTACTTTAAAAGGGTCTATTCACACTTGCAGTATGCTTCTTTTGGTTGATTTGGTCTGAACTAAAGAAGAAAGGGATTTTGCTATTGCACACATAAATATCTGCGGCAAGAGATTTTTAACCCCTCTATTGAGAAACATTGCAAAAAAAAAAAAAAAAAAAAAAAAAAAAAAAAAAAAAAAAAAAACAAGTCCTGTGACATGTCTTATTTTCTACATATAGATGTCTCGGGAATGTCATGTTGTGCATTCATATTTTAGTAGAACCCCACCGAGGGCCGGATTAACCAATGGGACCTCAGAATTATAGCCCCAGCTTTGTTGCTGTGTTCCCGTAATTTTTCTGATGAGGCCTTCAGCAATTAACAAGCTTACAGGGGATTTATTGGCCGTTGGCTAAAAAGGGTCAGAAAAGACTATTGATGTATGGGACTTTGTCTGAGCTCAACAATAACTTTACAGTACACAGTTCATGGACCAGTTTCTTCCTCCGTTTCACAAGTGTAAGTAAGTGTGAATAAAATGGCTGCCTCCTTGTTTTCTCTCACTTGCAACTTATGTAATTAAATGTGTCTTCTTACTTGTAACCGCTTGTACTGTATCTGGTTAACTCTTTATATTTTCATATTGTGCCTAAATCCATGCTGAAAACATGAAGCATGCCATTTTATTTACAGATCTAAATACATTCCACTGCTGTTTGTCAGTGCTGTGGCCACCATCAGTTGTTCCTAAACACGCGTGGCGGTCAGGTTTCAAAATAGGTCAGCTTTTGCCAATGTGTGGATTATTACTGAATGCGTGCCACTGTTTTTACTTCTGGTTAAGAATAGAGTCATATACTGATGTTAAACTGCATTGCTTTAATGCACTCCTGCATTGGGCTCACACATACACTGCACTTAAAATCAACAATGTTTATAAGCCGTGGTGGGCATTTCTCTCGGTCTCACGTTGAACGCAGTCGACCAATCGCATCAGACTGGGTCATCAGACCAATCTGCGTTAAAAATAAATGTATATTATAAGACAATAAAAGTTTTTTTTTGATCTTGCATGCATATCAGACTGTTATTGGAGACCCCCAAAACCAAAATGTGACGTTTTTAATGCATAATAAGGGCTCTTTAATACATTCACAAATATAATAGTTTTTGGTATTTTTTGATTGTGATTTAATTTTTTAAATTTTGTCAGCTTCGTTCATTTTTTATGAAACATTACTAGTCTTGACAACTAGTAAAAAATCCTCTTATGTATTTTATTTGTTTTTAGCATTAATAATAGTGGTATAATAAAAACTAAACACAAATAGCTTTAACTTTGTATTTATAGCATGATAATTATAGAAATCAAAGCAGAATGTTGAGACTGTTCATGTTTTTATATCAAAAATATGTAAGGAAAATGTCACTGAGAGAACTAATCTAAAATGAAATAAGTTCTAAAAATACATGATCTCTTTATCAAACTGCTTTTACCCTGGTCTTTACAATTAAATAGCCTTAGATTTTGACTTGTGTTAATGTATCATCTCGTATTAACTCATACCTGTAGGCCACTGAATGATGCGATTCTGCTGTGCGATCACTTGATCACAGAAAGAAAAGAAGATCCTGTGAATATTTCCCTTCTCCAGATGGAAACTGGAGGACACGCTCCGATAGCTGACACGTTTGGACAGGAGGGTGAGGGACAGCAGGACAGTGTGAGACATGGACAGCCGAGCTCTTCCAGACATGCGGTTTTTGCTGTAGCCCATGTTGGAGCTCTGCAAAAAATTGGTAACATACTGCAAGAAAAAAACAAGAAAATAATTTTGTTAAGCCATAGTTTTTCTTTTATATCTACTGCCATACTAGTATACTAGGTATTTTAAAAAGAAAAAAAGTAATAACATACAGCAGTAATTATAAAACAACAACTAACAATCAACTCACATCATTATGAAAACATTTAAAAAAAAAGTTTTTTTAATATCTGACAATATAAAAATATGAATTAATTTGAAAAACATCCCTCAGACAACCAGTAAAATGAGAAATGAATGAGTGAAATTGCTTACTTTTGTTTAAAAAATGACATTGCAACAGAATTCGCTTTATATTAAACTGTCAAAACGTTGGCATCTAGATTATGACTGACCTGAACGGTGGGATTTGCCTCCATGACTTCAGTAGCATGTGAACGCTGTAAGGCAGACTCTTGAACGGGCTGCTTGGGCTCTGACTGCTTTGGAGTCTGTGTCTGATCTGCTGAGTCCTTCTGTTGAGCTGAGTTTATCTGCTCCTGTACCTGCGCCACTAGGTCAGCCTCTATCATCTCCTCCACAGCACGGTCCAGCCGCTGGTCCA